GCTTAGAGGAGATCAAGGTAATACCATACCCACAATTCCCTCGTAACATTCAGAGCATCGTGGGCCACAAAAAATTACCTCTGGGGCCGCAAGTGGGCCACAGACCAAAAGTTTGACACCCCTGGCCTATACTAATCCTGTTTCATTTACAAAATAGGATTTGTAAATGAAATCCCACTCCCTATTGGGATTTTGGGATTATGCCCACGGGTATACAGATTCGAATTTACAACATGTATTTTGAAAGAGCACAATTCAACCCATCATGGAAAAATCTCTCAAGATTTGTTCCAGGCCTGACGTTTTATGAATCACATGAGTATTAAAAATATAGCTATCAGCTTACATCTAGAGGGGCCCTGTGGTATAGTGGGCTATGTGTTAGGCTACTAATTGCAAGGTCGAAGTTCAAACCCACTAGTGGCTCTATAGGAGAAAAATGAAGCACATTTTTATACTATTATAAAAGCAACAAATGTAACTGATAAAAATACAAGCAGGCAATGAAACACATATATATTAGGAGCAAAGATGGCGAGACTGTCTCATGTACTTAGATGCATGCTTGGGTGTAGGAAACAGAAAGATTTCTCCCAAGTCGTCTCCCAAGTATATGTTAGACTTAGGACACTGCTTGCAGCTAATGGTAAATGATTGTCAAGTTACCTCCCTGAAGGCAGACCTTTGCCAGACTACTGTCAGGTCCCACCACAGGTAGGGCCCACTCCCTGCTGTTAAGGACAATGGGCTACTTCTCCCTAAAGGCTTGCGGCCATTAGTCTGGTCTCTGTGGGTGGGTTTACACCCTACTGATAATGGTTTCTATAGTGAGCCACAGAACAGGTCAAACCCACTCAGTGACATCCAAAGTTAGGCTGCCATCCTGAATCTAGGATCCGCCCATCTTGTCACATGTATACTCCCAATCCCTCCTCTTCCTATTGTGTGTATACCCCTATATTACCCCCCTCCCATTACTGTATTACCTATAGCACAACCCTTCCCTGTGACTTAAGTCTTCACCTGTAATTAGGGGGCTTGCACGTCCCCAGAGAATATAAAAGCCTTGGTAAGCAAAAATCTCTCTACGTGGACCATCAAGTGAGGCTGAGGTGAGCATGCTACCATGAAATGTCTGACTCCATTACTTCAATCTCTCTTCTAGCTCTCATGCTATGACTTTAATATAATCTTTACTTATTATCGCTGTACAATTGCGCCTACCGGACTCGTGATGATGTGTTAGGGCAGGTACCCTGACACTTGGGGAAGGACATCATGCTTCGTAAAGTAAAGGAGAAGCAAATAAAGAAGAAGGCCTTCCAGAAGATAGACGGACACCATAGCTACAACAATGGAGCCCAGCCTAACAGCTGTGAGGACAGCGCAGGACTGGGCAGTGTTGAGTACAGGGTTGCTACGAGTCAGAGCTAACTTGACGGCACCTAACATCAAGAATCTATCATGTGCAAACATTAGGTCTTGCTCATCTAAACTCACTGCCATCTGGTAGATTCCCACTCACAGCAACCCTAAGGACAGTCGGACTGTCCCTGGGTGTTTCCAAGACTGTTAACTCTTTTTGACAGAAAGCCTTCTCTTTCTCCTGAGAAGTGGCTAGTGATTTCAAACTACTCATATGGCCATTAGCGGCCCAACTCACAACCACAATGCCCCCAGGGTTCCTGGCATTAGGTCAGTAGGTCTTATTCGGAGGTTGGGCCAGGATTCTCAGTGGTTTGGCAGTTAACACCCAGTAATCCCCATGACCTGTTCTAGCACAATGTAACCACAGTCCATCAGGTATGCTGCTGTTATTAGGTGCCACTGAGTCGGTTCGACCCACACAGCCCTATGCACAACATAAGCAAACACTTTCCCGTCCTGCACCAGCTTCACAATGGTTCCTTTACTTTAGTGCACTGCTGCTGCCGCTGTGTCAATCTATCTCACTGAGGGGCTTCCTCCTTACACTGCCCCTCTACTTTACCAAGCATGATGTCCTTTTCCAGGGACTGGTAAGACGAAGTCTTGCCATAGGAGCAACTGTGAGGGTGGCACAAGACTGGGCAGTATTTTGTTCTGTTGGGTACAGGGTCGCTACAGGTCAAAACCGACTAACGTCACCTATGAACAGAAGCACCACTAGTGTTACTTCTCTAGAGAACTCAGCCCAAGATGAGTAATTTTTACCTCCAAAGGGGGACATTTGGCAATGTCTGATGACATTTTTGGTTGTCACAATTTAGGGTGGGAGGGTTTCTATTTATATATAGTTGGCAGATGTCAGGAATGCTGCTAGACATTGCAGAAACAAAGGTCAGCCACCACAACAAAGAATTATCTGACCCAAAATGTCAGCATTGAGGTGGTAAAACCCTGCATTATGCTAACTTCCTTCCATTTATTTCTCATTTAAAAAAATACAACAAAACTGTATGAAGCAAATTATTAACATTGTTTCTACTGGGTAGATAAAGAAGCAGGCTTTGAGAAATATTCAGAGCTATAAAATGGAAGGCAGAATATTAAACCTCTACTATCTGATTGTCATTATAAAACTTCTATGCATGTAAAAGCATGTACGTTCTCTCTCTTTAGGATATCAAACATTGTGCAGCTGGCCTTCATTTACAGCACACACATCTCCAACATCTTTCTGTGTAAAACATAAGTAGTTCTTAACAACGACCAAGGATTTTAAAACATGCAGTGCAATCCAGCTGGGACACCCTAACAGTGCTTTGAAAATTAGAGCAATGCTGCCATGAGTGTCTTTGTGGACCTCCTCTTGTGTACTTTTGCAAGAGCATTCACTTGTAGGATGATTTCTTTTCAAAGTAGAAGTGACAGGACATAGATATGTGTGCTGTAAAAAGGACCTAATGTCGGGGGTTTAAATGGAGAGAAAATGTTTTGAGAAACGATGTACAAATGTGCTTTACACAATTGATGTGTGTATGGATTGGGATAACAGTTGTATGAGCCCCTAATAAAATGTTAAAAAAAAAAAATCATTATCAAATTGTCCTCCAAAAAGAATGCACTAACCTATGTATTCCTATGGCCTTTGTCCACATTGTGATTTATTTCTAAACCTGGTCTGTAAGGAAAAGGTAACACTTTTTAAAGTTGTATTCCTTCTCATTACAGGTGAGGATGAGCACTTCCTTGTCATGTTTGCTGCTTTTTCCTCTTTCCCCCGTGAATTGTTTTCCCATTAAAGCTTTTAGTCTGTTTTCAAATGCCCTGTTTATGAGCTCTTCCATATAATGGAAAATAGCCTGGCCCCCACCACCAACCTCACCCCCAGGGCACTCACCAAAAAACTGTATATATTGCACTCACCAAAAAACTGCTTGTTGTCTTCATAGTATTTATTTCCATATTTGTCTTCCCCCACTAATGTGCCAACCTTTGTATCGTTTGCCCTGTGAAATGTCCAAGAGAAAAGTTCACAATAAGTGATGCTTTCAATTGTCAGCAGAAATAAAAATGAGGATATCAACTTTCAACACAAAGGTTACAGTGCCAACTGGAAAAATGAGGCAATGCCGGTCGGGTGGTGGTGGTGGTAGACTTTTGGCCTTCACGTCCAGGTTCAGCGCATCCCTGTGGAGGAATCAACTTTCTGGTTAAGAGCTCTGGCATCCCAGTTCAAGCTGCCCCAGTATCATGTATATGGTAGGATGGCAGAGGATGAACTGACTCCACCGGTGTGATATACTACACTAACTCTATGCAAGGAGCTCTGGTGGGGGAGCAGTTACACATTGGACTGTTAACCTCAAGGTCAGCAGTTTGAAACCACCAGTCCGGGCTTTCTAATCCCTTAAGGAATCACAGTATCAGAAGCTCACAAGACAATCGTACTCTAGCCTACAGGGTCAATATGAGTTAGAATCTATGGCAAGGATTTTTAGTTAGTTTGGGGATTTTTGTTTGCTTGTTTTTGACTCTATGGGCACACTATCTTTTCTATTACAGGACTACTTTGATCTACCATTGCGAGCCCTAGTGGCATCGTGGGTTATTTGCTGCGCTGCTAACCACAAGTTCAAACCACCAGCCACTCGCTGGGAGAAAGATGAGGCTTTCTACAACCTCGGAAACTCACCGGGGCAGTATGAGCCGGAATCGACTCGATGGAAGCGAGTTTGATTTGGTTTGGCTTTTATCCACCACCCCTGCACCATGAGACACAGGGGTTAGCGAAACCTGCAGGACATTGGGACGCCAGTGTATTTCATCTTGCTATCCTTCGTCTGACCCTGGGAGTACACCTCAGTTTTAGTGGACGGTTTAGCTCGTCAGATTCATGCATGTCAGGGCTAGTAGAGGCCATCCGACCTCCCAGCTTACAGAGGAGGAAACTGACGACCAGCCAGGGGAAAAGTCCTTCCTAAGGTCACACAGCGAGGTCCTGGTCGGGCCAAGTCCACCCCTTTCCACAGCCCGGATCTCCTCGTCCGCAAGTGATCGCTCCGTGTCCAGCGCTGGCTTACGGCCTGTGCGGGGGCGACCCCAGGAAGGAAACTGCGCTGCCTGCCCTGGACCTCGGAAGACGCCCGGGATGTCCTTGACAGGCACCGCGGATCCCCCAGGTGGCCCAAGCCTCGGCAACAATCCTGCCAGTGCAGGCCCAGCCCTAAAGGCCGAGAGCCTGGCTCGGGAAGCCTACCTGAAGAAAACTCGTAAGTAGCCTCGGAGGCCGCCGTGGCCGCTGACCTGCTGCAGCCCACGCTTCAGGACCCGCAAGTACTCCATCTTGTCCCGCAGGCCGGGCCCCTGGAGTGCGCGCGACTACACACACCGGCCGGAAGCCGCCAGACGCCGCCAGACGCCCGCGCGCATGCGCGCGGCAGACCCGCCTGCGCTGCCCCCTAGTGGCTCCCGGTTCGAAGGCGGAGGCGTGTGGGGAGAGCCCTCGGCGCACCTCGGGACCCCTCAGGGCCTCAGCTTTATCTGCCATGCTTGCCTTTTTCCCCCTTTTCCGGGGGAAAATAGAATACATTCAAAAATTCATCTCCCCTCTTGATTTCTGACTTGCACCTGGACCTCGAGGTTCAACATGCTTTTTTTCCCCACAGAACACTGAAGACCTCTTACAGCTGATTAGCATCCTGATGCTAATCAGATTTTTGCCCCTTTCCGAGAAATTTGTTTTTAATTCCAATTTTTCCAGATCCCCACCCCCTTTCCACACCCTCCCCCTCTGCACTATTATTTTGAGAGTTTATTTAGGGCTTTTTCACTGTTCTTTGGAATTCATGATTATTAAGTTTAAATCCCTCCTTACCTGAGGGATTTTTCATCTAATAATTATCACCATCCATTTTCCCTATTTCTTCTTTCTGGAATCAAATTGTTTGGTGGACATTGCACCTTCTGATATAACCTCTATCTTTTAGTTGTACCTGCATATTTTCTACTTCACTGTTTATGCTCTATAGAACCCTGTTAGCGTAGTGGTTATGCATGAGATGGGCTGCTAGTCCCAAGGGCACCAGTTTGAAACCAGCAGACGCTCCATGGGAGAAAGGTGAGGCCTTCTGCTCCCACAGTCTCAGAAAGCCACAGGAGCAGTTCTACCTTGCCCTGTAGGGTCGCTATGAGTCGGACTCCACTTGATAGCAGTGTTTGGGTTTTGATGTTTGTGCTCCAAATCCTGAGCAATTGATATAAATATATCAGTTATTAATTTGTTCCTTGTTTGGGTCCATTCTATTTTAGCCTTGAGATAAGTTATTTCTTCTTCAGTTCTGTTTTTAATTTTAAGGACTCTTTCTTGATCTCTGCTCCTTAGCATCTTATTTTAATTGTTGGCATTAGTTTGATATTAGTATTGTTAATAGAGCAAAAAAAAACTAAAGAGATATAGAAAATAGATTTAGACAACATGCTGCTTTGCTCAAAAAATATGCAAAGGTTGTGTTCTTTTCTTTTTTTTAAAGGTAGTGTTCTTGTAGCCAGTAAAGTAGTAAATAGTACTTAGCAGATGCAGTAAGGCAGTGATTCTCAATCTTCCTAATGCTATGATCCTGTAATACAGTTCCTCATGTGTGGTGACCCCAACCATAAAATTATTTTGTTGCTACTTCATCACTGTAATTTTGCTACTTTTATGAATCGTAATGTAAACATCTGATATGCAGGATATATTTTCATTGTCACAATTTGAACATAATTAAAGCATAGTGATTAATCACAAAACAGTATGTAATTATGTATTGTGAAATATTTATGTTTTCCGATGGTCTTAGGCAACCCCTGTGAAAGGGTTGTTCGACCCCCAAAGCAGGTTAAGAACTGCTCAGTAAGGCTATCATGTCAAAATCCTCATAAAACAGTTTTAAAGCCATTATATAAAGGTGTTAAGGATTGGATGTCATGTCTCTTTGTCCTGGAATGTAAGGGACATGACTTTGCTCAGTGCTATGCTCAGGAGCCCCAGTGGGACAGTGAGTTGTGCACTGAGCTGATAACCAGTAGGTCAGCAGTTTGAAATCACCAGCAGCTCCACAGGCAAAAAAGATGAGGCTTTCTACTCCTGTAGAGTTAGTCTTGGAAACCCACAGAGGCAGTTCTAGTTTGCTCTATAGAATTGCTGAGTCAGAATTGACTCAGTGAGTAACCAAGGGTCAGAATTGACTCAGTGAGTAACCAAGGGCCCTGGTGATGCGTTTAAGAGCATCTGCTGATAACCACTGGTTTGGTAGTTCAAACCCACCACCATCTCTACACTAGAATCATGTGGCTGTCTGCTTCCATAAAGATTATAATCTTGGAAATCTGATGGGGGCAGTTCTATACTGTCCTATGAGTTAGAATCCACTCGATGGCAGTGGGTTTGTTTTCTTTTGTTGTAGTTTGTTTTGGCATGTTCCTAACATCAGAAAGTGGCTGACACATGTTAAGCCCCTGGAATTTACTGACTAAATGATTGGCATCCATGTCTGTAGAGCTAGATGGGATGATTCTAAAATAGTTTAAGAAAACCAATTCATCTAATAAATAAATACAGGGACTGTTGTCTCTGTATCTGTAGTGATTGCAAGGAGGTCTCAGAACCTGTCAACCAGTTTAAGATGAAATGACCTGGATGCTTGCAGCCAAATTGTTATATTCCATCAACAATCTGTGGCTGCTAAGCAACTGCAGCTCACCGAATGTGGAACATCCAGTATGGGGGAGATGTTAAACCGTTCTCTTAGTCTTGCATTCCTGGGCTGGGTGCCAATCTCTCTCAGCTCACAGATCTTGAGACCAAAGTGTCACTTGGAAGCAAAACATCATCCAAACCAGACTGCCACAATCTAGTGACTCCACATGGGGGCCACCTTGGGGGCATTCCTGGCACAAGAGGCCTCTGCCAACCCACCCCCAAATTCATCATGTCGTAGCAGCTTCCGCAAAGCCTGAGACCACTGTGCCCAGAGCAGCATGGCCCAGGGAGATCGCAAGAGCAATGACAATGTGTAACTGTCACTACTCCCTGGCCCACCATGGCCAAGAATCTCAGGGACAGAAGCAGGAGTGGAAACAGTTTCATTGGGTTACCAAAAAAGACATCTGAATAGAGTTTAGAAGAGAAGAAAAAGACAGGACCAATATGCCCAAGTCCTCAGTTTGAAAGATCACCATGCCTTTGAATTAGATAAAAATCCATTACCATCAAGTGGATTCCTACTTATAGTGACTGTACAGGACAAGGTAGAATGGCCCTATAGTGTTTATAATCTTTATGGAAGCAGACTGCCACATCTTCCTCCTGTAGAGAGGCTGTAGGGTTCAGACCACTAATTCTTACTCTTTAGTTAGCACACCACTATGGTGTTGTATTTGAATTACATGCAGCCCCAAGAAATCAAGAGGTTTTTCCTGTAATCAGTCAAGGACAAGAAAGTATTACCATACCCATTGCTGGAGCATTTAGAAAAGGAAGCTTGTTTTTCCCCCCAAATAATCTGTTTTATTGTGAATTAGGTGGGCATTTTTTGGTCATCAATTTTATATTCAACAATTTAAGCTGCTAATCAAATCTCCAGAAGCTTGCCACACACTGTACCACTCACTTTCTCTTCTGTCTGTGGTATATTATCTGCCCCTTCATCTGTCTACTCTCTATTTATTGCTTATCTTCCTTCCCTGAAGAGGAAACTCATTTTGTTGGACTTCATTTGAAATATATTTATGAGTGATCAATTGATTAGGTTGGAGGTTATAATAAACCATCCCCTTTTTTTAAATGAAGAAATGGGTGTGAATAAGAGATCACAGACATCCAGATAGAGAATCCTCTCATCAATATAATGGATGGTAAAAAGGTTGCCGTGTTATTGATGGACACTGAGGAAATCTTTGATAGTCAATTCTTGAGTTAGCAAGTTATCTTCCTCTAGTTACTAGTGCGTGATCAGCTCAATATAGTATATAACCCCAAATGTCCACGATGATCATTGTTAGTACCTCCAGCATTCCACTGAGTGTGGTAGATTAGCAATCAAGGAAACATTCCTGATACCATTTAAAGCGGAATGTTTGCTTTTGTAATACAAAAAACAAAATGCAATAAAATAAGAAAATCAAGAACAAAACTTGGCAGATGCTATCAAGTCGGTTCAACTCACAGCAACCCTCTGTATAACAGAACAAAACACTGCTCAGTCCTGCATCATCCTCACACAATTATTGTTTGAGTCCATCGTTACAGCCACTGTGCCAATCCTTCTTGAGGTCCTCCTTTTTCACTACTTTACCAAGCGTAATGTCCATTTCCAGGCACTGGTTCCTTCTGATACCATGTTCAAAGTAGGCAGGATGAAATCTCATCATCCTAACTTCTAAGGAGCACCCTGTTAAATCTTCCAAGATAAGATCTTGTTCTTCTGACATTCCATGGCCCTTATTATTCTTTGCTAACACCAGGATTAAAACACAACTCTTCTGTGACCTTCTTAGTCACTGTCCAGTGTTCACATGCATATGACGTGACTGAAAATAGCTTGGGGTCAAGTACGCAGTAGTCCTCATAGTAATATCTTTGTTCTTCAATGCTTCAAAGAGGTCTTGTACATCATACTTTCCCAACTAAAACAACTTGGTCTAAGGCAGCAGGAGGTGACAAGCCATTGCCTATCTGATTGCCTTAAAAGTGAGTTACAGTTCTTAAAAAGGTTCATCGAACCACAGTTCATTGTGTCAGTTTATTGTACTGTGGTATGTGTTGGTGAGATCTGAAGCTGTCACCGGTATTTAAAACAATCAGCAGGGTTACTAGCACTGATTTTGCTGTGCCTCACAGCCAGAATGCACTTCAATGTAATATTTTCAAATTAAAACTGATCAGAAACCTGTGAGATCATGAGGTACCGAAGGGATCAGTTATCAGGCATCAAAGAACAAAAAATGGTATCATTGTGTGCTTACCTCCCCAATATGATCACTGAAGACAAATGGGTACATAAGTAAATGTGGTGAAGAAAGCTCATGGTGCCTGGCTATCAAAAGATATAGCATCTGGGGTCTTAAAGGCTTGAAGGTAAACAAGTGGCCATCTAGCTGAGAAGCAACAAAGCCCACATGGAAGAAGTACACCAGTCTGTATGATCACAAGGTGTCCAAGGGATGAGGTATCAGGCATCAAAGAACAAAAAAAGCATATTGTGAATGAGGGGGAGTGCAGAGTGGGGACCCAAAGCCCATCTGTAGGCAACTGGACATCCCCTTAAGGGTTGTGGGAGGAGATGAGCCAATCAGGGTGGTGTAGCAACGATGAAGCATACAACTTTCCTCTAGTTCCTGAATGCTTCCTC